TATCTCAAAGATATTTGAGAGACATCTTTATGTAATATCATACACAGATCTCTCAAAGATATCTGAGAGACATATATATGTAATATCATATATAGATATATGTCTCTCAGATATATCTGAAATATAATATTTGTAAAATCACCGGGATATCCTTGTTACGTTAGCGCCACACGAGAGACACGAGCGACGTCTAAAGGACTGAATAACGAATTAGTACGTGTTTTGCGAGTTCCCCAGTAATACTAGTCTATGGAACGCTACTCCAATGATGCCAGATGCAAACCTCCCGTAGCACACAGAACAAGCGACCACGACGTATGTACGTCTCACACAAATAGGGGGTCGGCATTTATGCCGATGTGTGTACGATGTTTATGCCTGTGCGCAGTAGGCCTTTGCGCAACTCAAGCGTTGCGCCAAAACTTATTGCGCACACACATATAGACGTCGCACACCGTGAGCGACGTGCGCCAAGACCTAACCTACTGCGTGCACTTATGAACGTCGCACTTCGCACGCTGCAGTCTGCACTTGTTTCCGCATGCTACAGAGAGGTTTGGCTCAGGATTTGGATCATAGATTGTCAGGCATCATAGATTGTCAGGTAAGTATTTTCATATAGTTCTTTTTAATAATTGCTTCATATTGAAATACATACAGCATTTGTTAACCTAATTTAGGGAGGTTAAACGAGCAGGCTGAACGGGGTTAGGTTATCCTCTGGATAACCTATATATCCTCTGGATTTTGTAAAAATATAACAAATTTTTGTGATAACTTATACGATTATCATGTCTCATATAAAAAGGAGAAAAGATTTAAAGTCAATGTCGAAAAGAAATATTCGAAGAATCATTCAAACAGAAGCTCAGAGAAGTAGTGTTTTACAATTGTATGGTGAAGACACACACACACACAAGACTGGCCATAATACAGTATTAAATACTGATAAAGATGACAGTAATTCATTGTTTTTTATTATGGAAACAGATGAAGTTTCTAATCAAGACGACAGTGTGAATAATGATGCAAGCAATATGACAGATGAGAGTGATAGTGATTTAGTACGATATAATAATAAAAATGACAGTAGTGCAGAAGAAATGTATAATTATAATAATTTAGAGATAGAGTATGAAACGAAAGAAGAAGAAAATAAAGGCCAAAATGTTAGAAAATGTTTTCAGGAGAAGCTAGCAGAATGGGCAGTTGATGCTAATTTGCCCCATAATAAGCTATATGATCTAATGAGTTTATTAAGAACAGTAAATTCGTTGTGTGAAGTACAGAATCTTCCTAAACATCCTCGAACATTATTAGAAACTCCGCGACAAATAATAAAAAGAGTTGTATCTCCTGGTGAATACTGTCACTTTGGCTTAGAAAATGGTCTAAGAAAATATTTGTTAAGCAATGTTAAGCAAAATCATCCAACTATAAGGATAGGTATAAATATCGATGGTCTTCCCATTTCCAATTCTAGTTCAAAATGTGTTTGGCCAATTTTGGGATCGCCTGTAGGAACTAATTATGTCTTTATTATCGGTCTATACACAGGAGAAAAAAAACCAAACTGTTCCAATGATTTTTTAGAGGACTTTATCAATGAAACAAAAATAATTTATGAAAGTGGTTTTAAATTTGATGGAAAAATATATAGAGTTGAAATAACAATGCTAGTATGTGACAGCCCTGCAAAATCATTTATATTAAATATAAAAGGTCACAGTGGTTACTCGAGCTGTCCAAAATGTCATATCTATGGAGCAAATTTAAGACAAAGAATATGTTTTCCTGATACAAAACCATATCATAAGAGAACAGATTTAGAAATGAGAGAATATTGTAATAATGAAGATAATAATTCTAAATTAAGTGCTTTTTCTGAAATCTCTGGCTTCGATTTAATCAATGATGTAGTTCTTGATTATATGCATATAGTATGCCTCGGTATAATGAAGAAGTTAGTGAAATCTTGGCTTAGTGGAGATTTAAGAAATAGAGTCGGCCATCAAACATCTTTGAGTGTATCTAAACGCCTAGAAAATTTAAAGATGCATGTTCCTATCGAATTTGCTAGGAAGCCAAGAAGTTTAGAATTCTTAGCTGGTTGGAAAGCCACAGAATTCCGTCAAATATTACTTTATTCAGGACCTATGGTCTTCCAAGGTTTATTAAAGCGCAGTGTGTACGTCAACTTTTTGACACTCCATGTTGCAATGCGAATTCTATGTAATGAGAAATTATTGTCGCTATATGGAACATATTCACACGAACTGTTGAAGCATTTTGTAAATGCTTTCATAAAAATCTATGGACCTGAATTCGTATCGCACAACGTGCACTGCCTTCTCCATTTAGTAGAAGAATGCCAAAAATTTGGAACTGTGGATAATTTTAGCGCATTTAAGTATGAAAATTTTCTTATGACAATAAAAAGAATGCTTCGAAAATCTGATAAAGTAATTGGGCAATTGTACCGACGATATACTGAAATTGAAAAATTCTCAAGAAAACAAATAAGAATAGTAAAAAATCTCGGCCTTTTTGAACCTGTCATAAACAGTAAACTGAAAACATATCCTATAATATGCGATTGTTCTGGTCCGTACTACCTTTCTGCGACATGTAGCAATATTACTTTAAATTGTTCCTTGGAAAAAGATAGATGCTGTGGTCTTTTAGATAATTCTATTATTAAAATGGAAATTATCGCTTTCTCTGAAAATGAAGGAGAATATTTTGTTATTGGAAAAAAATATAATACAATAACAGATTTTTACATGAAACCTTGCCCTTCATCCACAGTTGGAATTTACGTAGTATCTGATCTTGCCAAAGAAATGGAACGATGGCCTTTATCATTGGTACAAAATAAATATGTCAAATTTCCTTTAGATTGCTCGGAAAAGTTCCTAGTTCTATCCTTATTGAATTCTGATGTTGAACAATTTTAGGTAATTATTTATTTCTTTCAAATTATTATATCTGTGTTTCAATATGAAAAATTAATTAGCATTTTAATTATTTCCTCATAAAAATAAACAAAGGATCATTATTTAAATAAAATTACTTTAATACTAATTGCGCTGCTGCCTTTGATCCGTAAAAATTTATATTTTAATGTCTAATTAATTATTGTTCCTTTAGTTGTGTTTATAGTCATGGCAGAGATGGAGTTTGCGGTTGTTGAATTTTCTGACGGAGTTCAATTAGTCCCTAAATTTTGGTTGCAAGATGATGATACCTGTTATTGGCCAAAAGTAAAGAATCAATCGAAATATTATAAATTAGTTGAAAATAAAGAGCCAATTAATTCGCAATGGGAAAGGTGCAATGTTATAGCGGTTCTAGCAGAAACTGGTAAATTTTATTGAATTTATTCTTGCATTGTTTTGATGATTATTAACTCGGTGTATATTCAGACAGCACAAAGTTCATTCAAGGAACATCTTACAAATCTTATCTCCAGAGCTTGTTCAACGCGTATAGAATGTCTCCAAGATGTTCGTTGAAAATTTGTTCTGCTGAGTAATTTTTGTTATTACTGATTTTATATATATTAGTTATTATTTATTCTTAAATGTTATGTCAGATACGTTTAAGAAAGGACTAGAAAAACTAAAAAATGCCGAAATCTTCACTGACCCAAATACAGATGTCGATGATGTTACTGGGAAAAAAAAGAGGAAAAAAATTTGGAAACAAAAAGATACTTCTTCAAGTGACGATTATTCGGCGGATGATGATATAGAACTTGAAAAATTTCCTTCGCCTTCAAAACATTTAAATAAGAAATCTGACAACACACATTTCTCATTACAAAAGAATCAGCAATCTTCTTCAAAATCTCAGGGCCATCAAACAATCAAATCGCTTGGAAGTAGTAAAGCTCACTCTTCCTATAGCTCATTTTCTCAGCCTCCACTAAAGTCAAACAAGCAAAGTGGGCCAAGTCATCAATCATCCAATACAGAGAGAGAGAGAGTTTCCCGGCTTTTATCCAAAAGTACTGATTGCGCACCTGAAGAATATCGGTGTTCATCACCTACTCGTACTCCATTAACGCATTCATTCACTTCTTCCAATAATATGCAAAGTCCATCCACTTGCGAAAGCAGTAGTAAGCATTGGCGTGATAGCTCGAATAGACCGAATAGAAATTTTCATTACGAAGAATCATATTATGGTAATTAATTTCGGATTTACCATTTATATAGAACTAAGATATACTAAATACTTAAGATATATTAAATAGTTACTAATACTCAGTCAGAAATGACTCGAAAACCGACATTGAAACAATATCGAATATTGAAACAATTGACCAAAAATGCATCGATTCGATATTGTTTCGACGTCGGTTTTTGAATTATTTCTGACTGGATAGTTACCCAAGTGATATCAATTTCTTGTATGCATTATACGTTCAACGGATCTTCAATAAATATAATTGATTTTATTTTTTTAGGCGACAAAACCATCGAAGAATTAAAAAGATTGATAGAAAAATCAGACAATTCCACAAAAAGATGTTTTGCTGAAATAAAAATAGATATTCAGCAAATTTTAGAAAACCAAAAAAATATTTTAGTTCGACTCTGTAGACTCGAATGTTGTAACCTTGTTCCTACTGCAAGAAATGACCGTGTAGTAGTACATCTTCCTTTAAAAAAAGAAGATGATCTAGAACAGTTAGAAGATAACCTTCTACAAGAAGATTTTCGAACTGCTTTGGTAAGTTAAACTAGAATATCCCAGGCTTTAATAATAGTTATAAAATTGCTGCCACAGTTAATGTTACAATATTTCACTTATACTGAAAGTAGAAAAATTAATTTTTGTTTAATATTTCATTTATTTAAATTGACATAGTCCCCAAGAAGCAATCTAGTAGCATAATCAACAGATTCGAGTAGGAATTGTTGATAAATAATTTGTGTCTGCAATATACTCGTCTTCTGTTAACAGAGCCTGTTGACATAATCCACCATTAGATCACTACGAAGTCTCACATTATTTATATCAGCCTGCCGACATGGTCTAAATCTATATAACAGACAATAGCAACATGTCATCAACATTACAGCAATATTGCAGCAATTGTTGCAATATTGTTGCAATGATGCTGACATGTTGCAATTATCTGCTGTATGGGTGGAGTAAGAAATGTTTATCTTTAACGTTTAAACACATAAAATATATTATTCACAAATTTTATAATATTCTTAATCGAATTTTTAATATTTTTGTATACACCAGAGCTGAAGACATTTTCAACTTTAGGGCTATATCCTCATGGCGTAAGAATACAGGTGTGTTAGTCCCGAGGATGCGTAATGGTTGACCAATCAAAGACTGCCCACAAATGCGAAGAAACCAATCAGCGTTTGCCCACAAGTGCCAAAAACTAATCAACAATTGCGGCTATTTTTCAATCGGCGGCCATTATGCGCAGTAACACACCTATCTTCTTATACCATGTATATCCCCACTCCTCTTATTTTTGACACCTCACGCAAACGTTAGACGCTTGCGCTCAGGAAATTAGCTAAAAAATATATGGTGAAGCGTGTCTAACGTTTGCGCTAGGTGTCAAGAATGAGAAGAGTGGAGACAGCTTTTTTCTCAAAATGAAATTGTCCGCAGCCCTGGTATATAAAACATTATATAAAACATTATATAAAATATTCTAGTTACGTGTCGAGACGTATTTAGAACTATATTTAGCAAGGATAACATTAATGCCCAAAAATAGAGTTTATGTTTTTAATTATCAATTGATTATGTTCGTTTGTTCTAATATTTGTATATAATATGAAAATAATTACAAATTGATTTTTTTATATAGATTGAGCAGCTGAAAAAAATAGGAGGAAGAAACGTCAAGGAGACCGTTTATACTTTGATGAAGGAAGTATTTACTAATGATTTAGCAGCAAAATTTTCTTGGCTGGGCCTTAAAAAGAAAAAAAAATTGTCTATTTTTGGTCTATCCAATGTCCTTATAGATATTGTGCATTGCAATCATTCAACTACCAAACAGGAGATAGTGGAGCATATTAAGGCATGGCTGAGACATGCACCCATGAGAAGTGTTAGAGAGTAAGTTTATTAATTTCTTATTAAGTTAACTTCTCCCATTATTTTAATTTTTGCAACCCGTTTTTTATAATTTAAATTTTTTATTTAAAAAATTACATAGTGTAAGATTTTAAGAACATTTTCAGTTTTATACCAACTTCATTTTCAATTTTCAGGTCTAACAAAAACGCAGCCACACAACAAAAAACTAACGAGACAACCACGGAATAAGTATATTAAGCAAATTTCCTTCATATTTCTGTTACCAGTTTTTGACACTTATTTTCCTGTATTTAATTCTTTTGTCGTGGAGTTAACTGCAGAAATGGCAGACTTACTTTTTTCTCCTTTTTTAATATATTAGTTATTATCATAATTCATTTATTATTTTACTTTCGTCGAAAAGAAGAAAGAAGATTTTACTTTCTTTCTTAGATTATACGTATCAGTTTTTCAGCCGGTTTGTTAGTTTGAGACTTTTTTTCTACTGGTATCCCCACTCCTCTCACTTCGTAACATCTAGATTTCTCTCACAGACAAACGCTGGATCGCAGGGACACTATTGGTTATTAATCGAATTGGCACGTAATGCCAATACGATTTCATATCAATTTTTGAGATTAAGTGTCTTAAAATTCTAGATGCTACGAAACGAGAAAAATAGAGATTGCAGCCAGTAAGACTCTCGAAAGTGCTAACCGGCCGCAAGCCTGATATATATCATCTTTGAATAGATTATATATGTATATCGTTATTCATTGTTCATTATTAGTTTACTTTATTCGAATAGAGACGCTAAATTAAAGTCGTTATGATTATTGATCAATCTGATGTGATCTCATGTTTTTTAGTTTATTTTTTATTTAATATTTTAATTTGAGAGGACTTATCCCAAAGAGAAATGTCAGTGCAATAGATATCAATTTGAGGTCTTTTTAATATTTTGGATCAGAGTTGGAATGTTATAGTTGCCTTTTTCGAGTCGATTTGAGAGGCAACACCTACTATGTTCTTATATTACCTCTCAAGCCTTGCATGCCAAGCCGCCGATCGCATTGTCTCAGGAGTACGCTCATGTAAAATGTATGTTTGAACATATTTTTCAAGTCGTCATAAAAAATTACTACTTAATAGAACGTACGTCCCAGCTATATATTTTTTATATGTGCATGCTCCTGAGGCAACGAAATCGGCAGTTCCATTATCGAGACTTGATCGGTAATTATACGGAAAAAACCTACAATATGAAAAAATACTGATACACTATTGAAAAATTATAGTTTTTCAATATTATACCAGTAGTTTTTTCGTATTGCTGTACTTTTTAC